CCCCCTTTCCCCCCTGTAAAAAATCAATAAAATATATTAAAAAAAAAAAAATAACAGCCAACACCAGACAACAATAGCTGTCTGGTGTGAATGAATCAAAATTACACCTATTTTTTTCGTCAGATCGGCAAGAAATATAGTATAAAATTCTATACTATTGAATTCTGCACCACAGAATTTTAGTAATTAGTTTATGTGTGCCATGAGATGAAAAAGGTTGAAAAATCACTGATCTACAAGACTTAATTAGAAAGATAAAAAACAGTCCATACTCAAAAGTCCTATTAAATTCTGCAACTCTGATGAAGATTTTTCTCACTTCTCATTACTGCAGTAAGAACATAAAAAATTAGCGATTAAATATAACTTTTTGTGATAAAGTTCAATCTGCCCTCTTCTTGAGCCTCTGTTGAAGATTCCACATTTGACAATCCCTGGTGCTTCCTCAAAGAGGGAGAACCCTTTCCCGTCTGTCTACTGCCTTCAACAGAATAAATAAATGTTTCCAAAATGAAAATATGAGGACCAGTCAGATCACTTACTATATAGTTTCAGCAGATTGTAATACAGCTGGTCTCTGTCGCATTCAAATAGCTTCTGTGTCAGCTCCACTAATTTTTCTAGAGTTTCAACCTTAAAAATACAAACAAGAGATGGATCTAGATTATATATAATATATATTTTATAGTTGACAAATCTCAGTTGAATAATCCTTGAAATTAGCTTTACCCAAAAAAGGTAAATTAACTTTATTTCAAAATTAAAGGCCTGAGCACAGTGATGTGAATTTCCTTAAGCCACTAACCTGTACACCTTAAAATGATTAAAATGGGAAATTTTATGTTACATGTATTTTATCACAATTTAAAACAATTTATTTTTTTAAGTGAAGGGTTCAAAGGTTCCTTGGAGTCAAGAACACAACATGATCAATTATCTAGTTGAGGGAACCTCCACAAGGTGCATTTGGAGAATTTTCGAAGATATCTGGGGTGGAAGACTCAGTGAGTATACACTATATTTTTTCAAGAATACTCTTCTATACAAACATTATACTCCTCTTCCCCTGTGGCTTTTACTTGGCAAGATGTGGACAGATATCTGAACTGCAGGGGAGGTAGGAGAAGTGAAGCAGAAATTGCATTGGGCTCCCAGCAAGCGACTCCTCTAGACATTAAGGATTAAAGCAGACTTTAATTACCAAGGAAATAAAGTTAGCCTGCTCAAAATAAATAAAATAAGGCAAGCTAAAATCTTCAGGGCCCAAATCAGAATTTTTAGGAACTACGGCACCTCGGAAACAAGAATTAAGCAATAGCTTATTTGGAAAACAACCAAGATAACACTACTTCCATTAATAACACTGTCTCTCCTAAAATCCCCAAATGCTCATATGACATGCAGGACACTTGCTTCCTACTCATAGTTTTAGGTACTTGAGACCAGAAATTAAACACAAACCTGATTACTGGAAATACACCTATCACAAAACCACTGAAGTCTGGCAGATCGTGCTCTAATGCCTGGAGTCTGTAAAATAAAAGGATCACATAGCACATAAGGTAAGGCTGTAGCTAAATGTTAATTTTTCAAAGACAAATAGTTTTCCTTTAATGGATTTGTTGCCTCTTTCTCAAACATATACATTTAAGAAACCTACAACTTAAACCCATAATTATCAAAGACCTTTAGGATTAGAATAGAGCATAACACACAATCAATACTTAACCTGTGTCTTTAAGATTTGGGTTATTTCAAAATGCTGTTTTACAGATCAATTTTCATTCCATAAAGCTTTAGTTATTAAAATGGTTAAGCTTTCTTTAGTTCAAAAAGAAATCTTGAAATAATGAACTTAAACTCCAAAGTATGTGTCCTCTCTCTCTCCCTCTCTCTCTCTCATCCCAATAGATTCAGGAAGCAAAAATTACTAATGTTTCATAGACTTATTAACAATCATCACAATAAGAAACCAATAGCTTTCAAAAATGCTTTGTAAAACTTTAGTGATAAAAGTCTTCTGACTACCGCAAATGCTTGCCTAGATCTAAAATTAAATGTCTAAAGAGCTAAGTACTTAAGTCAAGCTAAGTATTTACAATTAGTTTCAGAGTCTTAGTTTATTTCAATAATTGAGGCATGTTATATCCTTATATCCTCAATTAGAAATTACTGACATTTAGTCAATAACTCTGGCTTCAAAGCAATTATTTTACAATTCTGGATACTGGAATAAAAGCCAAACCATTATACATATAATTCAAGGATTTGTCAGTATAACTATAGTAGTTTCATCTTGTGTAAGAGGGCTTCACCATTAAATACTACACTTCAATCACAGCAATATGATAATAAAACTACACACTCACTAGAGCCCTGGCTGCTCTAGTCTACAGGAGATACCTTTACTGATACCTCCATTCAGCTAGGATGACCAAACTAGGTACCCCCTCAATCTGATCTCTTATTTATAAATCTTCCTATTTTTATTTCTTAAAATAATATTGTATAATGTTAAATTAACTGAAGCAGAAACTAACAACTCAGAGCTTTGATAGAATGATAGAAAAATTGGTACAGAAATTGTATAAGTGTTCTCATGCTACCTGTGCAAGTGTCCACATTTTGGAATACAAGAAGTAAATGTTGAATCAATTAATTTTTAACTATATTCTCAAGTATCATTAATATTTACGTTTTCACATAATTTCTACCCATGGATTTTCTCACATTATCTGTTTTGCTTCACATACATTATACTGAAAATGAAACCAACATCAACTGCATACAAAAAGCCCTTGAAAAAATACTAGACGGTCCTCTTTCGAACATGGCAAAATGCAAGGACTACATTCACTTACAACTTTCAATATTATTGCTGATCCAAATGCCAACGATCTAAATAGCAAAACTTTTATAGAAAACTCTTCCTTTTTGTGGCTGATTAATCTCTCTGTCACTGGCAGGACAGCTGACTTATACAGCACATATTTCTATGTTTCATTTTGAAATTGAGAACTGCTTTCACATATAAGTCTCAATCATCAAAAGAACATCTAGGTCAGATTAACTAAATCTCTTAGGCTTCTCTAAATGAGTCTACATTTCTGGCTTATCTCTTAACATCTTATTGAATTTTAAACACTGCAAGTTGAAAGCAAAAATAGAAAATGTAATAAAAATATGGAGAAGAATAAAATTCTAACTGGGACATTGAATACAACTTATGAAAAACCAGTTAATGCTGAATTAAAACAATGGACTCAACTCTAGTTTTTTGTTTTGCTATATACAATCTATTTAATGAACAATAAGGATAAATTACTTATTGTAATAAAAAACTGGGTTGCTGTGTTTCAAAACACTTTGTGAAGTTCCGATTTAGTACTAGGTTCACTTATATAAGAACAAAAAGTAATCTAAAATAATCTTCATTACTTTAATTTCATTATATTACTGATAAACTAGTAAATCTATTGTTATAATAGGCTTTTATGTATACTAGTAAAAATAAATTGCTACCTTTAAAGTGAAAAGGAATGAAGATTCTTTTTCTTAAAACTATATTTCAAAAAAAAAACCAATCTTAATAAATTGGACTGAAATAGAAAATGTTATTTGTTTGTGTTTTGTTTTTAAATATATTTTTATTGATTTCCGAGAGAAAGGAAGAGGGAGAGAATGAAATATCAGTGATGAGAGAGAATCACTGATCACTGCCTTCTGCACGCCCCCTTATTGGGGATCCAGCCCGCAACCCAGACATGTGCCTCTGACCAGAATTGAACCTGTGACCCTTCAGTCTGCAGGCTGATGCTCTATCTGCTGAGTCAAACTGGCTAGGGCTATGTTGTTGTTTTTTAATATGTTTTTATAGATGTTAGAGAGGAAGGTAGAGAGAGAAAAACATCAATGATGAGAGAGAATCATTGATCAGCTGTCTCCTGCATGCCCCACTCTGGGGATTGAGCCCACAACCTGGGCATGTGTCCTGACCAGGAATTGAACCATGACCTCCCGGTTCATAGGTTGATGTTCAACCAATGAGCCATGCCGGCTAGGTGAAAATTTTACATTTTAATTTTTTTTGCAATTACTGCTGGAAATGGAAAATGGAAAACAAACAATTACCTCTAGCCTCATTTTCTCTAGCCAGAGCATTAGGACAATCAAATGTTTAAGAGGGATGAGACAATAACAAGAACTCAACTATTTATCCCCATACCCAGGATAGCAGGGGAGGAAAAAGGGTATCATAGAACTTATTAATCCTTTCAATGTTTGTCCTTTTCTCCAAAATCTTCAGAGATAGACTTATAGACCATGTCTAGTAAGGAGGATAATATGTGTATGGCTGAGCAAGTCAAACTAACAGTCAACTGAACATGATGCACTTTAACCAGGTGGTAAGAGGACACACTAATTATACTTCAAAGCTATAGTTATAAAAACAGTATGGTCCTGGCATAATAACAGACACATACATCAATGGAACAGAATCGAGAGGCCAGAAATAAACCCTTGCATATACGGTCAGCTAATATTTGACAAGGGAACCAAGAATACTTAATGGGGAAAGAAGATAATCCTATCTAATAAAAGAGAATCATGGTAATTGGCGTACAACTGCTACCCTTCCCATTGGCTAATGAGGGCGATATACAAATTAACTGCCAGCCAAAATGGTGGCCGGCAGCCAGGCAGCTTAAAACTAACATGAGGCTTGCTTGCTTCAGTGACGGAGGACTCCAACGTTCCCCGCCTGCCGCTGTAGGCCTCTGAGCTGCAACTCTAAGCAACTATGTAGCAAATACAGAAGCTAAACAAAACCCCAGAAACCTGCTTTAGTCCACCAGGCTTCAGCCAGCAGGATCGCAACATTGTTTCAAATACAGAAGGTAAACAAAGGCCAGAAACCTGCTTTCAGCAATGGAGGCTGAAGAGCTGGGGC